AAAACCCAATACTCTGTTTGCCTTATTTCAAACATTAACGCACTGTTTTCTAGGCCGTAGGTCCGGGCTTACAAGTACCCCTAGGTCTCTTTCACAAGTCGACTTCTCTAGGTTGATGTTGTTCAGGCTGTATACATTATAAGCATTTGTTCTTCCAATATTAAGTACGCTGCACTTGCTGGTGTTGAATTTCATTTGCCATTTTTCAGACCACCCCTGCAGTTTATTTAGATCCTCCTGTAATACATTTGCATCCTGCCCTGAATTAATTTGCCGCCCTATTTTGGTGTCATCCGCAAACTTGCTTATGTCACTGCTGATCCCAGTATCTAAATCGTTTATGTAGATTATGAACAAGAGTGGGCCTAGTACTGACCTCTGGGGAACCCCACTGGTTACACGGCCCCACTCAGATTTAACACCATCTACGCTGACCTTCTGCGTTCTATCGGTGAGCCATGATTTTATCCAATTTAAAACTTTCCCCTCGATACCATGAGCCTTAATTTTTCTCAGAAGCCTCTGATGCGGTACTCTGTCAAATGCTTTGCTAAAGTCTAAGTAAATAACATCGTAATTTTCGTCATTATCTTATACCTCGAAGACTTTCCTAAAAAACGTTAGCAGATTTGTTAGACAAGATTTTCCCTTTGTAAACCCATGTTGAGAGTCGTAGATTAATTTTCTTTTCTCTAGATGCGATCGGATGCTATCTGCTATAATTGATTCAAGAAATTTCCCCACTACTGACGACAAACTGATCGGCCGGTAATTTGACGCTGATGCTCTGTCTCCCTAATTAAATATGGGTACTACATTCGCCTGTTTCCACAACTCTGGCACAATTCCAGTGTCTAATGATTTTGTAAATAAATTTACGAGGGGTCCGCTAATCTGTTCCCTACACTCTTTTATGACTCGAGGAAAAATTTCATCCGGCCCTGTGGATTTTGTGTTCTTTAGTTTATTTATCTTCTTAAGAACATCCTCTTTTCTGATGGTGATATTCTTTAATTTCTCTTCTTCCTTTCCCTTAAATATCAGTTCCACCTCCGGAATTTCATCGCAAATTTCTTCTGTGAAAACTGATAAGAAGTAGCTGTTCAATGCTTTGCTCATGTCTTCACTGCCATTTATCAATTCTCCCCTCCTGACTTTAAAGGCCCAACTTTGTCCTTGACCTTTGTCCTATATACCTGGAAAAATCCCTTGGGATTCGCCTTGGATTCTCTTGCTATTTTGATTTCATAGTCTCTCTTTGCTTTCCTTACATTTTTCTTAACATTCCAAGATAGTTCATTATACCTGTTTCTGAGCTGCTCCTCCCCTCCCTTTGATTTCTTATATATACCTTTCTTTATTCCTATGTCATGTTTAAGTTTTCTGGTCATCCACCTTGGCTCATTCTTATTTGACCTAATTTTTCTGTATGGTATATTTTGTTCTTGTGCTTTATGTAGTATACTAGTGAATATATTATAGTCATGATCAATTGTTGTGTCATCTATGACCTCACCCCTTCCTACTGGGAACTGACGTGACTGTTCCCAGGTGACCTCACCTAGGTACCTTCTTAACCCCTGATAATCCGCCAACCGAAAGTTTGGGACTCTGACCATATTGTCATTGTTTTTCGTTTCACAATTTAGGGTGAACCTGATTTCTCTGTGATCACTGTTACCTAGTTCTTCCCCTACTGTGATATCTCTGATAATATTTTCTTTATTTGTTAATACTAGGTCTAATATATTGTCACCTCTAGTAGGTTCTGTAATTAGTTGTTTCAAAAATTGTCCTGTACTGCGTCTAGGAAGTCTTCAGATTCATAGTCGCCTACAATGTTGTCCCAGTCAATATTTCTGAAGTTGAAATCCCCCATAATGCATAGGTTGTTATATTTTGCTGCCCTACTCATTTCCTGCCATATGGGCTGAGCTGCTTCTTTGCTAAGACTTGGGGCCTGTAAATCACTCCCATAATTAGTTTTTTCTTCCTTCCAGGATTTCTACCCACACAGACTCGGTTCCTATTTCACCCCTTTTATTGAATTATTATTAGTACAACATTTTAATGAACACACGAAAAGTGCGACCCTCCCCTTCCTACCTTTCCCTGTCCTTAGAAAAGGTTGTACCCTTCTCTATGTGGTACTCTTGATAAAAATTTTGTTTTGCCAGATTCATCCAAGTTTCGGTGATTGCTAAGGACGTCTACATTCTCGGTACATACAACCGCTCTCAGCAAGTCTATTTTATTTCTAACGCTCCATTGCTTGTATAGTAAGCATTTAAACCTACCCTTCCCTGGTCCTGTTTTTACTCCCTTGTCCTGGAGCAACTAATTTTACTTCCCAGGACCTGCTTGTTTTGTGATTCCCACTTTCCCCTGACCCCCTCTACTGTCTGTGTGTGTGTGTCTGTGTAAGGTCTGTGTCTGTGTGTGTGTTTTCTGTGTGTGTTCTGTGTGTGTGTGTCTGTGTGTGTGTGTGTCTGTGTGTGTGTGTCTGTGTGTGTCTGTGTGTCTGTGTCTGTGTGTGTGTGTCTTCTGTGTGTGTGTGTGTGTCTGTGTGTGTGTGTGTGTGTGTGTGTATGTGTGTGTGTGTTCTGTGTGTGTGTGTGTGTGTCTGTGTGTCTGTGTGTCTGTGTGTGTGTGTTCTGTGTCTGTGTGTTCTGTGTCTGTGTGTGTGTGTGTGTGTGTGTGTGTGTGTGTGTGTGTCTGTGTGTGTGTTGTGTGTCTGTGTGTGTGTGTGTGTGTGTGTGGTGTGTGTGTGTGTGTGTGTGTGTGTGTGTGTGTGTCTGTGTGTGTGTGTGTGTGTGTGTGTGTGTGTGTGTGTGTGTGTGTGTGTGTGTGTGTGTGTGTGTGTAATAATAAATATAATAATTTTAGGTTTATTGAAGTTCTGCAGCCCGAAGGCTGAAAATATACATTGGACATAAATGACTTATTACATACATAGGTGGTTTAACAAAAGCCTTCATTAGAGAAAGGTAAAGGAACATACAGTGAACATAGTAGATTTGTAGGTGTTGAACAGCAAACACGTAGTGTAGTAACTCCTCCCAGATGGTGTTAGAGGACTCACGTGGTGTAGTACTCCTCGCAGATGGTGTTATGAGGACCACGTGGTGTAGAATTCCCTCGCAGATGGTGTTATGAGGACCACGTGGTGTAGTAATCACAGATGGTGTTATGGACCCCACGGTGTATCATCACAGATGGTGTTGAGTCCCGCGTGGTGTAGTACCTCACAGATAGTGTTAAGGGACCTGACGGTGTGGTAATTCCTCACAGATGGTGTTATGAGGGACCTGACGTGGTGTAGTAATTCCTCACAGATGGTGTTATGAGGACATGTGGTGTAGTAATTCCTCACAGATGGTGTTATATGAGTGAGGTGGTCCCAGGCCTTCCTATCGTAGACGGATTAACATATCGCTGGTTATCACGGGCCGTTATCACTGGTACCTGGACCTCACTGTGTGAAGGTTAACTTGATACGACTGTTACTGTTGAGTTGTTCTCACTGACTTAAGCACTGTTCACCACTGTTCACCTCTGTTTAACACTGGTTCCATTCCCTTCCTATCCTAATTGAAATTGTAACTTCTGGCGAGAACTTGTTGATATTCCGGTGGGGAGGAGGGTTAGGAGGTTGGTATGGGCCAACTTAACAGTTGACCTGGCTTCCGAGGAGCGCCAGGAACGTCTTAACTCCTCTGTAAATGTGTGTGTGTGTCTGTGTGTCTGTGTGTGTGTGTTTGTATTACATATCATTAAAAAATACACATATAGATCTTATTTTTAGGTTCGTCACGTGGTTTAAAAATATATTGATATTAAGATTATATAAAAAAAATCAAGGTTACGATTTATAGAGTGGTTCATAAGGACCAGTCTCAGCGTCACCCTTAAGGACCAGTCTCAGCGTCACCCTTATGGACCAGTCTCATGTCACCCTTATGACCAGTCTCAGCGTCACCCTTATGGACCAGTCTCAGGTCACCCTTAAGGACCAGTCTCAGCCCCACCTTATGGACCAGTCTCAGCCCCACCCTTATACATCTCAGCGCCACCTAGGACCAGTCTCGCCACCCTTATGGACCAGTCTCAGCCCCACCCTATGGACCAGTCTCAGCCCCACCCATGAGCCAGTCCAGTCCTTAAGGACCAGTCTCAGCGTCACCCTTAAGGACCAGTCTCAGCCCCACCCTATGGGACCAGTCTCAGCGTCACCCAGGACCAGTCTCAGCCCCACCCTAAGGACCAGTCTCAGCGTCACCCCTAAGGACCATCTAGCGTCACCCCTTAAGGACCAGTCTCAGCGTCACCCTTAAGGACCAGTCTCAGCCCCACCCTTATGGACCAGTCTCAGCGTCACCCTTATGGACCAGTCTCAGCCCCACCCTTAAGGACCAGTCTCAGCGTCACCCTTAAGGACCAGTCTCAGCGTCACCCTTATGACCAGTCTCAGCCCCACCCTAAGGACCAGTCTCAGCGCCACCTATGGACCAGTCTCAGCCCCACCCCTTATGGACCAGTCTCAGCGTCACCCCTAAGGACCAGTCTCAGCGTCACCCCTATGACCAGTCTCAGCCCCACCCTTATGGACCAGTCTCAGCGCCACCCTGATGAACCAGTCTCAGCCCCACCCTTATGGACCAGTCTCAGCCCCACCCTAAGGACCAGTCTCAGCCCCACCCCCATGGACAGTCTCAGCCCCACCCTTATGGACCAGTCTCAGCGCCACCTGATGAACCAGTCTCAGCCCCACCCTTATGGACCAGTCTCAGCGCCACCCTGATGAACCAGTCTCAGCCCCACCCTAAGGACCAGTCTCAGCCCCACCCCTTATGGACCAGTCTCAGCGCCACCCTATGGACCAGTCTCAGCCCCACCCTTATGGACCAGTTCCCAGCGTCACCCTTATGGACCAGTCTCAGCGTCACCCTTAAGGACCAGTCTCAGCCTCACCCTTAAGGACCAGTCTCAGCCCCACCCTTATGGATCCAGTCTCAGCGTCACCCCAGGATCCAGTCTCAGCGCCACCCTTATGGACCAGTCTCAGCCCCACCCTGGACCAGTCTCACGCCACCTCTATGGACCAGTCTCACGTCACCCTACGTCTCAGCGCCACCTTATGGACCAGTCTCAGCGCCACCCTA